CTCCCCCCCCCACTCCGGACAAAATGCAATGAGATTGGCAGAAACGCCAAAATGCACACGTGTTCAACGACGACCAGACGTGTCGATCAAGTGCTCTCTGTTTGCTGACGCTGACCACGACTCCTCGGTTCGGTTGCTCGCTCGCTCAGCGGGTTCGTCACGTCCCGTGTCACGTCGCGTGACGAGGGAATGCGGGCGCGCGATGCCGTGCCGTGACGAGGAGCGGACCCCCCTTGCGCCTGCAGGACTCTATTTACTTGCACCTTGAGCTCGACGATGACGAATGTCCACGTTTAGGTGCTCGCGTCATCGCCCGGATCTGAAAGCGGAAGTGGAAGGTCCGAAACCGCGGGGATTTATTTGCGGATCTCGTGGGTGGAGTTGGACCATGCGGGGGGCTGGGGGGGTTGTAAAACTGTTGTTGGGGGGTTGGGGGTGGGGAGGGGGGAGAGACCGAGAAAAGGGAGAAAAACAAAACGAATGCTATGGCGCTCGACTCGACACTTGCCTCACCCAGTATCCCTCCGCGAGGGTTCCTTCGTACTGTTTTGCACCACTTCGTAATATTTCCCTAACTCCTCACTGAAGCGGTCGCTTTAAGTCGAGAACTTTGTCGCTTGCAATATTGGCAAGCTCTAAAACCCCTGTCATGCCGTACCTAACGGGATAGCTACGCCAACAGAACGGACTATTTTCTGGCGATCGCTTGAAATGTTCCACCCGTCCCCATGAATGGATTTGGCTGACACTTGTTGGTTGTTGTAAATCTTGAGAAGTTTTGTTGTTTAGATAAGAAAAATGAGTGAAATTCGCTGTTCATGATGCTCTTTCACGTCCATGGAGCACTCGTTCGTGTTGTTCATGACGTTTATAAAACGAGCACCAGTCTTAGATTCAATGTATACATGAAAGGAGAGGAATCTTAAGCCTAAAGTTGTGTTAGTTAGACCATGGTTAGGCTAAGTTCTTTCGTGTATATATTTGAACACTAGAATTTGTGAATGCTAACGAATCATAAAATGATTTATGGAGGTGTGATTACCTTTCCACCTTGGTAAAATAATGGAAAATAATTCTACTGGGAATACTGACAGGTAAGTTCTGACGCGTTGGCTTCAAACCGTGCACTTAAGTGGAAAGCGCACTTTCAAAAATTAATAAACTATTTGCTTCAGAGCTATCATTTTAAAGTTTAAGCACACTTTTCCCCTCGATAATATCTTCACTTCTATGGTAAAAATGTCAACTGATCTGAATAGGCGCTTATATTTCTTGGCGTACATAACCTCTTCATTTCCTTTAGCTTGTTTACACGCTGGTCTGCTGAGCAGTGAATAATGCTTGTTGTAACATGGGGTGTTATTAATGTACAACAATATATGTCGGAGCGTTTAACCTCATGAAATGGATACTTTTCTTAGCTCAGAATTAATTCTATTTGGGCTGAACTCTTCATTACGTTGCAGGTTAATTTTGTACATCATTCAGTTGTAAACAAAAGTCTTATCAACTGCTTATTCTTGCTTCACATTTTTATATAAATTTTTTCTCCAGTCATTTCCTCTATGTAAATTATGCCACTCGAATACATTGATTGGAATAATGACTTTTGAATTTTTACATCTTAATTTGGCACATCTAGGACAATTGACGAGGACTAATGAAAAGTTGATTTCACAGAAAGAATGAACACTCTAAACACTGCTTAACAATATTTCTTGTTCCCTCTTTCCCCCGAAGTCCCTTTTTTAGTTTAAGGGTCTCTTCACAAGTACCTAAAATTGTCAAAGTGGCAGTTATTCAATATTTTGAAAAGCGTGGAACTTTATTTCCCAATAAGTTGTTCCTTATTACTTAAAGTGTTTATGTGAGTTTGGAAATTGTTTTCCAGGGCTATGGAAGTGGGCATCAACAATGGCCCATCTTTCCGTGGTCACTCTGGCCGGCCTGTCTCAACTATGTCGGATACGGATGCAGTGTCTCCGATTGCTGGAAGCACATCCCCACCACCAATGCCACACCATCACACTCCTCACCACCATCACCACTACCAACAAATTACAACAATAATTGTTAACAAGGATGAGAATGGGTATGGCATGAAGGTGTCGGGAGATAACCCTGTGTATGTTCAGTCAGTAAAAGAAGGTAAGCCATGGTGAATTGATTTAATACTCATGAGTCATTTATCATTCTTGTAACTCCTGTTTAACAAATGGCCTTAACATAATAATTAACCCCCCAAAAATCTGCCCTGCTAATGCACTTTTAATCCTTAAAAACTATTTTGACAGGTGGTGCTGCAGCTAGAGCTGGTTTGCATAGTGGAGACAAAATAATGAAGGTGAATGGTGTGAACGTTGCTCATTCTACTCACACAGAAGTTGTGGAGCTAATAAGAGGTAAGTTGGTCTTTTGGCATTCCTTTTTCCTTAGTTGTGTTGAAATCAGAGATGATTTTGCTATTATCATTTTGAATCTGCAGCTGCAAATCACGTCACACTCACGGTACAACAACGACCGCACCACACCAACCCTCTTTCGTCTCCTACAATGACAAGTCGTCCGTTCTTCCACAACCATTCAACACCTTCACGGGAGCGAATAACAAGTCCCCAACCTGTTGATGTGAGTTCCTATTCAAACAGTGCCAATCAGTATTTATCCAAGTTAACTAAATATTCATTAGTTTTCTTCCTGTATTTTTGTATCTTCTTTTATAGTTGGAGAAAAAAAGACAACTCCAGTGTGAAAGAGTCCATACTTATCGTTTAATGCTGGAGAAAGAGCAGCGCTATGTGGAAGCTCTTCGTAGTGAGTTGGCAAGGTGCACTGATCCTGCAAGTGAAGCTAAGTTTGTTCAGGAGTTGACAGGGGCTGAGCGCCGTGTCAGGACTCTTCAAGAGAAACTTTTTAGTCAGACTACCAAAGCTCACAGCCAGAGCCACTCTCACAATCATGATGGAGAGGTGAGTTTTGTGTTTGCCTTATTAATTTGGTTCTGTATCATTTTTGTTGGGCTCCCCATATGCCGATGTGGTGTTACCCTATGATGCTCTTTAACATAATAATGCTTCGTGACGGACCATTTGAAGAGTTACTCTTACTCAATGAATAAGTGTGCAGTATTCTCCTTTTAAAATGAAAATCACTTCTATCCTCAATGTGGCTTTCTCGGTTGGGAACTTCATTTGTAAACTTTATTCTGGGCTTATTTTTTCAAATCCTCTCTATTTCCATTTTGTAATAGCAGTAGGGTATATCTCATTGACAGATTGTTAAGAGTTTTAATTCCTTTCTATCCTCATACTCTTGATAGTCCAAACAGAGCTACAACACCAGCTTTATTTTCTGATTCAAGTATATGTATTAAATTTCACGCTTCTCATGCAATATTCTTAATAACTTGACTGATATTTTCTTGGTTTTCTCTCCACAAGCAACAATCTACCCATAGTAATATTCCTTTCAATTTGAGATGTTTTGTTTAGAAAGGTTTATTTTTACCCAAATCACTGTCCGTGGACTTTCTCCTTGACGCAAATGCGTAGTGCATAGAGGCTTCCCATAATCTTTTCACCTCAACGCTCCCAACGTTGTACTATATTGTATATATATATATTTGGCTGCGGTGTCTGCTGCAACGCTTGGGTTTGGCTCTAACAACCAGTTGCTTTTCTTTCAGCACACACACACCCCTGCAACGCTTCCCACCCCCTCTGCTCACAATTCGGTGGCTGCATTCTTAGAACACTGTCGGGAGGACCCCGGTCAGCTGCCCAGCCAGGTGCCTCCTCCCCTCCCTCAGCGCAACCGCCCCTCCTCGGGCGCCGGGGGCGCGAACGGGGCGCCGCCCCCGCCCCGCCCCTCCGTGCCGCCCCCGCCCCAGCTCCTGCCCTCCCCTATCCACACGGGCCTGCCCGGCCTGTCATACCTCGACCCCCCGCCCCTCCCGCCTCACCCGCTTCTGAACAACCCGCAATCGGCAGACCAGTCGGGAGATGGGCCCGGACCCACTAGCAACGTAAGTAGTTTGTAGTTTTGTCCCTCAAGGGGACATTTTGTTCAAAGTGTCTGTGGTACTTGTACGTTAACATAGTTGGGCTCAATGTACTCTACGTAATAAGAAGATGAAAAGGAAGCCGTATTTTCCTGTTATTGAAACAGTTTGTTGTCATTGTTGCAGCCGCAGGAAACCTTGAACACTTCAAAAATTGATAGGTGGGCCTCTGATGTAGTGCCCTTTTGTAATTTGGTTGTGATTGCATGTACCTTGTACATGCACAGCATCAGACGCATGCATAATCATATAGTTTTATTCATTTATTTTGCACTCAAGTTACATTTTTTATGATTTGTTCTGAAATTTTCTTAAATCAAAATTTTATCTAGATTTAAACTAAAATTTTGAAAAGTTCATCCCATTTTTTTCTCTCTTTTTTCTCCCTATTTTTTCTCTTTTCCTCCAAATCTTTTGAAGTAACAATGCTGGTTTTCCATTTATTTTTAGACTAGTTATTCCAATCAAATACTGTTCTTACTGAAATTTTTAAAATTTTATTTTGCTGACTTGTGTTACCCTCTTATTCATTTTTTTGGTAGCATGCTGCTTATTACAGCCTATCCTTTTATATGGCTTTTGTAAATCTCTAAGCTACCAGTAAATCTTAAACACAATTGTATATTATATCACTTTGTTGAGATAGAGATATAATGATAGATGAGCACTTGCACGGCATCTGCATTATGTTGTACATGTGTAGGATTTTGGAGCTACTGTTCATTGTTGATATCCAATGCTTACTGGAACTTGTGTTTTTCAGGGGTCTCAAGGCAATGTTCACACCCACCACAGGGCAAAGTCAAGTCCAGACCCTCTCAATAATCATTCAACCAATGCTGAAGGTACTCTATTCATCACTCCTCTTAAACTAAGCAACAGTAATTTGTTGATTCTAATTGTAATTCTTCTTGTAACTTCTGCAGCGTCCAAACGGTTGATTGTGTCAGAGTCTCTATCTGACCTTTCTAATGCTAAGCGGAGTAAAGGCTGGGACTTGGACTCCCCACGGGTAACGCCTCCAGGCACACCTCCCCCTCCGTACGGAGGAGGCTCTAGTACTACCCCTGGTAGTGAGAGAACCGAGTCGTCTTCTGCTACTGGTGATGGCACTGATGAAAGTGCTCTGCTGCTAGAGGAGGTGAGAGATGGAGAGTTCTTTTGCGTCCACAGAGGGAGCCTTGTTGTTTTTCCTTCATATGCACACTCAACTTCTTTAAACTGTGCGTGTTCAACTATATTTAATTTCCTTTTTTTTTTCTTTTTGCAGTCTCTTGATACATCTCCTGAATCAGGCAATGCTAGGAGTCAACAACCAATTATTTCAATGGAGGATGATGACATGTCTGATCAAGAAGTGGTAAATATTTTATTTTGGTTTTCAGATAGCTTCTATCTATACACATTATAACGTCCAATTTTATTTTATCTTTAGCTGGAAGACCATGGTCCCTTCAAAAGTCTGTCAAAGTTATGGGAGCACAATGCTCATTTAGCGGTATTCATGAACTATGTAATTTCTAACAGTGATCCGTCCAGCTTAGTAAGTATAAGAGAAATAGGCTTTCAGTAGTAAGTTATCTTTTCAAAGCCAACTAACTTATGTCTTGTATTATTTATTCTTTCCTAGCTGTTTTATTTAGTAACAGATCTGTATAAAGAAGGTAATGCCAAAGAAATGAAGAAATGGGCATATGAAATCCACTCCAGTTTTCTTGTTCCTGGAGCAGTAAGTAAAATATTTCATTCTAACTCCTGTTATTCTCCATTTTAAACCCAAAAGTAACTTATACAACAATGGCTCCTGTAATTATTTTTTTTCAGCCTCTTAGGCTAAATAATGTTGATGAAAATGTTGCTCGTGAGATAGATGATGTGCTTCTTAAAGAATCAGATAAGGAAGAGATTTTAAGAAAGGTACAGTTTTTTTTTTTTTTTGTTCTTTAATTTTATCATATTTGGTGCTTCTTTTACTGAAGACATTGTTAATATGTATCAACTTTACTAAGTATTTGTCTCTTTCATTGTTAGGTGTTTTGGAAAGCCCGAACAAAAGCTAAAGAAGAACTGAATGAACAGCTTGCAGATTTCCAACAGAAGCGCACTGCAGGCTTGGGCACTTTGTTTGGTCCAGCTGATGCTCAACTTGATGAGAGTATACATGACAAAGGCAAAGAGATGAAAATTGTCGAGAGCATTCTTATCCCCAAAATTGAACCCTACTTGTAAGCATTGAAATTCAGTTTTATTTTTGTTACTCTCATCATTAACTGTCATCAATTAATTCCTGTTTGGTTTTACAGAGATGATATTGAAAAGGAGAATGTGGATATTAGGCGATATACAACTGCTGCAGCCCTGGGAACTGTGATGGGCAAAGTATTTGGACTGAGAGGACCCCATTCTAGTTCTTTACTAGAACGCTGTCCAACTTTCGTTTCTAAGGATAAGTCTCTCAAGGCCCGCATTATTGGAAAGTCAAGAAAGGTAAGTCAATCACTTAGCTGTCCTTTTGAGGCATGTATCAACTTCTGTTCCAAACAACTCAACCAAAAATTGACTTTGGATACTTTTAAAGGTGTCTGTGCGAGGTCATAACTTCAATGCTCATCAGTACTACTCAGTTACATACTGTAATCATTGTCAACTTATAATATGGGGTATTGGACCCCAAGGATATCAATGCACTCGTAAGTGTTTCATAGAGGCAAAGTTAGATGTTCTACATATTCTTGTCATTTTACCTCTTTTTTTTTTTGTTCCAATAGACTGTGGTCTTAATGTCCACCGACCGTGTGTACGAGTTATTGAAGAGAATTGTCCAGGTCCACTTGTAAAGAAGGATCGGGGCAATGCCAGCATCAGCAAACTCATGGATAGAATTAGAGAGAGGGAGACTCGTCGCAAGCCTAGTTCATCAAATCTCAGTAAGTTATAAATTATCTATAAACTTATCTTTGGTCAGGAAATTTCTCAAATGTACTGCCAATCATTAGAATCAATCAATTTTCTCAACTAATCACAAGTACTCTAGGTGCTTTTCTCACATTGCACAGACATTGTGTCTGATATGTCCTTAGAGAGGCACTTCTAAACTCTTTGCTTCTTTTTTTGCACCTGCTTTGCTATTAACACATGGGAATTTTCCTATTTTTGAGTGCTGTGTAAAATTTGTCTCTCAGCCACATTCACAACTACTCAAGAAGTTCAATATTTTTTTGTCACTTTTTATATGTTGGTCTAGTAGATTCATTGTTTTGTAGTGAACCGTTCTTTTTAGTGTCTTTTTAAAATTCTTTTGGGTGAAAGGTTAAGTTTAGATTTCCTTTACCGCATGTTGTATTGTAGTGTCTTACTGTCCTTTTGTTGTGATGTTGCTCGCCCACTTTGTCCAGTAGTGTACTTGTCTGCATGTTTTCCTTTTATCTGTCTGCCTTTCTTTTCACATTTAGTTCGTTTATGTTTGTGCTTCACAGAACGGCTCCAGTGTGGCTACGTCGCTCTCCTATCCAATCCGAAAAAGAATGGCTATGCACCTAAGAACAGATTTTTAAGCCGGGTTTCAAGTTATCGAAAATCCTTTGGTATGCGACCGGGAGTTAGAATAATGCGCTCAAGTATAGTCTGGATTGGAGCCAGTCGTATCTCAAGGGTTTTAATTTCAAGAAACCATTAATGTTGACATTATAAATACTGTGTTTAGGGTTTCTAATCTAATAATCTTGCATGATTAACAAACAGTCTGGCTGCATCTTTTGCACGCACTGCTCTCGTTTGTATCTATCTCTTTCCAATTACAGTGCAAGGTACCGTGGGGCAGTGCCTTAACCGAGTCCTTCTTTATCTTGCTTCCAGGCAAGCGCCAGTCAGAGCTCAACGAGGACGGCAGCCAGCCGGTGGACGGAGATCACGTAGCAGGTGAGTGTTGGGGGCCGTATGGGCCATGCCACAGGCACCAGGCAGGGCTTCCCTGTCGTCCCTCCCGCGCCGCTGTGAAGTGGGGGTCCCTCCCGCGCCGCGGCGCATCGCGTCGCATCGCGTCGCATCGCGCAGTGCGTAGATAAGCACCCCTCGGGGGACTCGCTGCCGTCCGCCACCCGCCCCGGCCCGCCCAACCCCACCCCACGACGCCGCACCCCACCCCGCCTCACCCCACAACGCCCTACCTCCTCGCCCCAGCTCAACCCACGCGGAGACGCACCAATTCACCTCCGATTGGGGTGGCGGGCGATCTGTGGCCTTCGAGAAAGAAAATCGAGTGTCTCTGGTTCGGAATCTCTAGCCACGCTCCTCCCTCACTCTCCTCCCTCACTCTCCTCCCTCACTCTCCTCCCTCACTCTCCTCCCTC